ACACACACACACACACACACACACACACACACACACACACACACACACCTGCTACACCATTGTTTTACACTCAATGCTAGGCTCATCTCCATCTGAGGACACTTAATGAGGAGACCCATGACTATGGAGCACTGCCACCTAACCCATGCTCACCGGCTCTACAATGCCAACCCATCTCTCACCACCTCAGATTGTCTTTCCCAATGGTTACAACTGACTGTCACCTCGATTAGCCTGAGAAGTGCCTAAGAGATTGGTAAATCAAGCCTATGGTTTACCTTTGTGGGTGTTTCCAGGGATTAACTAGGAGTTAACTAGAGAGGAGACCTAGTGAATCCCAAGGTAGAGAATCCTGGTAGAATGAAAGAGGAAAAGGAGAACAAAACAAAACAAAAAAAAGAGTCTGGCATAGGCATCCTCTCTTGACACTGGTTTGAACTGCTCTGGCCCTGTTAAGCTTTGTCTGCCATGGTGGACTGAAGCATCTAACACTGAGCTAAAATAAATATTTCCTCATTTGAGGTAGATTTTTTTTCAGGTATCAGCTATTATAGACAAAGCATTGCTGAAGTCTAACTTACTTTGCTTCTCCAAATGCACCCTGCATCTAATTACCTCAGGGGAGCAAGTCCCCCAGTGCCTCTTAGCAAGGTGAGCTTCTATAACAGTCTTCTCTACTCAGGCTCTATCACAATCAATTTTAGTGGCCAAGAGGGCTTTGCTCCTCTCCTTCAGTCCCTCTACCACAGTTGGAGCAAACCCAGATTCTCCCTGGGTCTGATTCCCCTGGATTAGACCTGTCTCCCACATCCCATTCTCCTGTGTTTTCATGCCGAGACTGAAGCAGATGCTTGCCCTCTCCTGCTGGGAGATCTCTGCCCTTAGCTCCACCAGGGTTCTCCAAAGCTGTCTTCTACCCAGAGGCCTGGCATCCAACCCTGTTCAGTCCTTCTCATCCTTCTCAGTCATGCCTCCCTCGCTGGCTTTCCTAGGGCAGCATCTCATTTTCTCCTTCACATCTACCAGGCCTTTATGGGTTTGGTTGTTTTTTGTTTTTATTTTCTTTAGGACTATTTGGGGACTTAAACATATACTTTTATTAGTTATTTGGATATTTCATACAATACACTTTGTTCATACTAACCCCTTACTCTGCCCATTTTCACCCTGACATCCCTGCTCCCTCCCAACTTCCCATCCCCATTCTTTCCCTTAAGTTAGCTCATGGAATCAATGTTTTGCTGTTTATATACTCATGGGTGTGATGCCATCCATTGGAGCATAGCCACATCCTTAGAGAAAAGTGATTCTCCACCCCTCCCTTTTGGAGGCATCAATGGCAGATAGCTTCCCAGTTAGGGGTGAGAGCCACATGAATCCCTCCTACCTCTGTGCTATAACATTAACTGGCTTGATCTTGTGCCAGTCTTGTACAGACAACCACAGCTGCTTGAGTTTAAGTGTAGCGGTCCCACCTGGTCCAGAAGACACTGTTTAGCAACACTCCTCCCCACTATTTGACTCTTAGAATCTTTCTGCAGTACTCCCTGAGCCCTTAGGGGGATGATATAGATTCCCTATTTGTGGCTAAGAACCCTACAGACACTTACTGGCTGCCCTTTGATCGGATGTGAGTTTCTGTACTAACCGCAGTCCTTTGCACAAAGAACAGTCTCTGATGAGAACTAAGCATTACACTCATCTGTGAACAGAGACATGAATTTAGGAGGCAGTTTGGTATTCTGTTCATTTAGCAAATTAATAGTAGCAGCTTTACCCCTGAGACCTGTGAGCTTTCCTGCCATGGGTTTTTGGCTAGATATAGTACCAGGTAGTGTTTTCTTCTGGGAGTAGGTTTTATATCCAGCTAGAAAGTGGTTGGTTATTCCAATAATATTCATGCCACTGTTACGCCTATGGGCCTCTCTTTCCATGCTGCTCATCATTACGTTAGTATACAGGATTCCTATCTGGGGCAAGGATCTGAGAAATTCATTGTCACAGTCCATGGCACATTCTCAGGTTGAAAAGCCTGAGATTAAATCCAATTTCATGGGCGTGCTCATTGGCACAGACCACTAGGAGCAGGAACACAAGCTTCATTGGCTGGAGAATCTTAGGATTCTCAGAAGTACCTCCTTGCTGGCAAGAGTACTGATGCAGATGCCTGCAAGGGGTTGGGGTGGCTCAGCTGGCACAAGAGCTTTGACTTGTAAAGCTGCTAAGCAAAAGAATTACATCATTGGTCTGCAATGTGCCAATGTACAGGATGATCCAGGCAAGCATGTAATTTAGAAAGGAAACAAAGCCTGCTAGTAGGCTTCCTGAGAACTGTCAGCAATGTCTTGTTTCAGTAACAATGATAAGGGCTTTCTTCATGCTGTCCAAGAACAGGGCCTGGAACATTCTTTGCTGTAAGAAACTATCCCCAAAGGGCCTGCTCACTCTGTTGTGTCCTTTTCCCTGGAAGGTGTTCTTGCTAAGACTCATGGGCACTCAGCGTATTTCTGTTTGATAACAAAGCCAGGCAATGCCAGAGGAGCCTGGGCCTTGCTAAATGTTTCCTTAAAAGATTAACCAGTCTGTGACTGGCTTGGGCTATGCAGGGAGAAAAACCCACTTCGGTTGAAACTGTTTGCTGCAGGAGCCAGCTGAGATATTGCTTTTCCATCTGTGTCTTCCTCCAGCAGCTCTTGACGGGCTGACTGGATAGGGACACAGCAAAGGCACAGGATGACAGTGGCTAGGGAAGGAGGCTCCCTCGGTACACTGGGCTGAAGACTTGTATTCTCCCAATTCCCATCATCCCCCAGGTGATATTATTAGGAAACTGGCCTTTGGGACATGATTAGGTCTCCTGGTAGTGGAACCCTCACTGATGGCATCAGTGTTTTTCTAAAAGAGGCCCCAAAGGGCAGCTTTACCCCCTCCATCATGGGAGGATGGAACAAAAAGAAACCATTCATGTAAAGGGAGCCCTCACCGGAAGCGAAATATGCCCAATGTCGAGACCTTGGACTTCTGTGCCTCCAGCACTGTGGGAAAGATTTCCATTCATAAGCCGGCCTATGCACGTCACCACAGCTGCTTGTTAGGCTTAGTGTCTACTTGGGTTGAGCTTGGTCGTCAGGGGATGGCCCCTGTGGGCACAGGTTGCTTTACCTGAGCTCTATCCCCCTGGCTGTTAAAAAGTCATAGGAGCTCTAGCCCCCCATTTTCACTTCACTCCACCAAGAGATGCTCCTTTTGGTAGGTAAAGAGATTGACAACAGGCAAACAGCACTTTTTTCTTTTCTTTTCTTTTCTTTTCTTTTCTTTTCTTTCTTTCTTTCTCTCTTTCTTTCTCTCTCTTTCTCTCTCTCTCTCTTTCTTTCTTTCTCTCTCTTTCTTTCTTTCTCTTTCTCTCTCTTTCTTTCTTTTCTTTCTTTCTTTCTTTCTTTCTTTCTTTCTTTCTTTCTTTCTTTCTTTCTCCCTTCCTCCCTACTTTGGCTATTTGTCAGTCTCCTAACAGATCATGAGTTGGGGATCTGTGTCCCAGAGGGTGCAGGACTCCTCAAATGCCAGGTACCTCCACCTCCCTGGATACTATCTCCAAAGGTGCTTGTTTAGTTCCATTAAGTATTTGTAAGTGAACCCAGTGCACTATCCACTCATCCCTCTTGCCCTATCTCATACTCTCCTGCTCATTGCATGAATCATGATGTCTAGAGGAATTTTCAAATATTTCCAAGAGGCTACTGATCTTTCAGCCACTTAAGCCCACCTTGGGCATGATGCTCAGTCACTACCAAGGGCAGGGCATGTACTGGTGGCCACTGGCCACAGAGGGCAGCACAGATCTTTGTGAGAGAACCTGACCCTCAAAGGCCTCAGCTCCACCACAGACCTACTCTGAGGGAGAGGGAACCTTTCCCCACAGGCCCACCAAGGACAGTAGGAAAAGCAGGTCACCTGGCATCTGCCATACACGCAGAGGTCAGTCTCGTAGGGTCCGCAGGGTGTGCCATCCAGGACCCTGTCAGCCACCAGCAGCGGGGACTCCTTCCCAAGGGGTGAGCAGTAGAGTTCACACGGCTTATCTGAGGAGGAAAAGGTCGGTCGGTGGCTGTTGGTATGGGGAGGGGTATGTGGCCAATGCTGGGAACAAGCATATTGAGCAATGGGCCCAATGGAGGCGTGATTAGAACAGGTCCAGGCCTCAGTCGCTTAGCCCTGTCCTCACCACCTGAGGACATTTAAGACAGCACACAGACCAAGATCCCCTGCCTCCATCAATGGGAAAGCAGGCAGCTCCGTGGGCTCCCTCCTCTTGGTCCTCCCATTTGCAGAGACTCGGCATTTCCTTTTCATTCAGTCGTTAAACACCACAGCTGCACAAAGGTACCATTGTAAGCTAGCCTGCCTGTGCATTCATGACCGCGTGTCAAAGTTGAGGCTGGGGCCTGCTGCCGTAGTGCTGGGAAAGTAGGGGAGGGTGAACAAGAATGCCCCAGGGAGGGGAAACAGGCCCTGTGGGGCTCTGTGACAGGGGTTTTCCTAAGAGCTTTGGTGTGTTTCCACTAATTTAGCACTCTGTTTCCCACTTGCCCCTTGCCCCAGCCGCTGGGTAGTAATTGCAGAGCTGTAATATGAACCCGAAGGTCTAGGAAGAAACTGAGCAAAGGGCTAGAAAGGGGACACACATAGAGTACTAGGACAACTCGTGAGAGCCATGTCAGCAGCTACACAGAAGTTCCTGTTCCCACTGCTTCTGGAACAATGTGAGTTGGGAGAACACACTACGTTTCCCAGCCTTTGTCTATGTCGTTCCCTCTGCCTGAGAATCCCAGCTTTCTAGAAGGCTCCTACCAACCTGGAAGCTTTCATCTTAGAGCTCTCTCTCCTGCCATCCTGACACAAGAGAGGCCGGTCATCTCCATGCACTTTTGTATATATATATCCACACAAGCCCAGGTCACCGGCCATGTGCCGCAGAATGGTTGAGCAAATCCTAGATATGAAGGGATTTCCTGTGAGGCAGGCTCCATTGAGAATGGAATACCAAAGGCTCCAAGACCCAAGAAAACCTCAGGTTCTGAAACCTGCTGAACTCTCACGTGACATGACAAACAGAAAATCCCACACCTGACCTCATGCGACAGGAGCAGGCGCACTAGAAACTAGAAGATTATGTTTAGGCTCTCAGTGAAATCGACATTTAGATTGGTGTCCCATCACAGCGATAGCTCACTGTGTATATGCAAGTACTGCCAAGTCCAAAATAGCCCCAATCTGAAAGACTTCTAGCTGTAAACATCTTGGGTGGAGGATTTTCCATCTACACCTTCAGCCTGAAGTACGGACACCCTTAGGGGACAGGGGACCGCACTTTCATCTTCTCTTCCCAGACCAGAATTGGAACTTGAGAAATACACTTAGGAAATACACTTGGACAAATGAGTGGATCTTGTCTCAATAAGAACACATCTCTCCTGGCCTCCTCTGCCACCTAGCCCTCACCCACTCATTGGATTATTTTGAAAGAAAACCTTGAGAGAGCCATAGCGCCTTATGCTACCTTATTGGGCTCTCTGTCTCCACTATCAGCCTTCCCCAGTGAGTCTTTTTTGGTAGTCTCCGGCAAGTGAGGGAGGGGTACCGAAAGAGGTTGGTAGCCAATGTGGCATTGGAGGGTCTTGGAATCCCAGTTGGAGAGGACTTGTCAGAGCAGACATGCTTTATTACCCAGTCTCAAGGATTTTCATGTTTGCATGACAGCCCGTGATCAACCAGCTCTGTGGGCGGTCACTTGAGAGTATGAGAAAGAAGCTCTCGGGATGCAGGTTCAACTCACTTCTTCTGTCTGGAAGTGAAATGGTAGACTGCAGGTCGACTCCAGGCCAGTCATTCATTCATCAAGGTTGGCTGGGGCATCACACCCCAAGCACTCTATAGGCAGTGCTAAAATTGGCAAAGAGTAACAGGTGCTCTCAGGGCCCCAGTAGTCTGATGGACAGGTGTGGAGTAACCCTTGCACGGGACAGGTTGCATGGCACATGGAGGGGAGTGCCTGTTCTTATTGGATGGGATTAACAAGAGGTTGCCAGGGGTTTGAGGCTCCCTGGGACCACCTTAGGGGTACAGCACGGCACTGTAGTCCGAATGACCTAGTATGTCTAGTGCATAGCAGGGGTACATTCTGTGCCACCTCCAGGTCAGACAGCCGGGACACCTGGGCCCTAGAGCAGAGGTCAGAAGTAGAGAGTCCTTCATTGGCTGTGTGAAGAAGTAGCTGAAACTACAGGTCTTAATTCCCTTTGGATTAATGCAACACTGAGGGCAACTGATTTTGTTCAATGGCAGTAACGATAATGATGATGATGTAATAAAGAGAAACTCACAGGCACTTGTGATTGTCTACATGCAAACAACAGGCCAAGTCGCGTCTACACCACTTAGTGCCATGTATGTTGCCACTGTCCCGTGGAACCGATGAGCATGAGGTTCACAGAATACATACACCTCTTCCAACCCGGACAGCCACACTCCGTCTGATCTTTCTTTTGACCGTCACTGTTTACTCCGAATGAGGAGCCCTCAGAGCCCCAAATACCAAGGGATAAAAAGGCACTGCTGAAAACAAACCACAACATTCATAAATATTTATGGTGTCTGAGCGTATGCTCTGATTTGAACAAAAATGGGAACGGGGTTTGGGCAGGAAGGCAGAAACTGTTGTTCTGAGGAAAACTGGAGTCTGTGGAAAGTTCCAGCATGGAAAGGATAAAAGTTGTTTGTTTTGGTTCTTTGGTAGAAATTTCAGAGAAGCGGAGACTCTAAATCAGGGGAAGTAACTTGAATGGACACATGTTGGCTGTGGTCTTAGGCAAGGGATCCTCCTGAGCTCGACCTGCCTCTGAGTCTGCCATGTCCAGATACTGCCCTCCAGGTCAGACAGCCAGGACACCTGGGCTCTAGAACAGAGTCAGAGGTAGAAGGTCCTTTATTGGCTACAACTCCCCATATTTGTCTACCGCCCCCCCCCCCCGGACTACACTCAGAATGTAGGGTGTCTTACCTATAGCAAGGAATAGTTCTTTTTCCCAAAGGGATGAGGACAGTCCTTTTAAATCAGAGAAAAGGGGCTCAGAGTTCCTCAAATCTCTCTACTAGTCCCCTCCAGGCTGCTATGAGTGGGAAGTTAGACTGCCAAGAGAATAGGTCTCATTAAGTAACGTGAATTGTGGGTCTCAGCTCTGAACATGGAGCAAGACCTTTGCATTCCTAGGAGTAGAGAAGGAAAGGAACCCTTAAAAGTTGTATAGCCATGCCCAGCAAGGAAAGATGCCTGGATCATGCCTCCTGTGTGGATAGTGTGTGCTTAGATGAATTCTGGTGGAGGCTTCTGTCTGGCTTCTCAGAGGCCTGACTGTTGGCAAGGTCTTCTCACTGACCAGAGGAAACCATAACCCTGGCAAGACAGATGGGCTCTGAGGCCTGAGAACTGGTGATGGCATCAGCTTAGAGCTCTGGCATTCCTCCAGAGCACCACAGGGAATGTGGACACTGGGGCCCAAGTGTCCTCCCTGCTATCTCTTGGATTTGGTTATAAAGTCTTTACTTATAAGGCAGAGTCTACTTGATGTTGAAGCCAGATTAAGTGCTCCTCTAAGTTCCATCTTGCTTTCTGTCTTGGCTGTTCAAAAAGCTATCCACCAGAATTTCATAACTAGTACCCACATACCAGGAGTTAGCTGATTGGATCAATAGAATCCACCTGACTATTATCAGACCAATCGGGGTCTTTCCTCACCATGACCTGGACCCTACAGACAGGTTTTGGTTAACTGGCGCAGTACTGACTACCTGATCACAGCCAGAATAACCATCTTTTCCCTGATAACTCAACGTTGGAACTCTATGAAACAGAGGCCATGTCTCAATGCCTGGTAGGTCCCAGAGAAGGCCATGTTATTTTATTTGTAATTCAGAAATATGTAAAGCTCTGAAAGTCAGTGTTTTCTTATATGGGTGGCAAACTATCTGACTGTAAAACCAACCTTTCCTGACAGGACTGAGTACCTGGAAGGCTGTCATGTGTCCCCTTAGGTCCCAGCAGGGCTGTTAGCATGTAGCTGCTGAACCATCATTGCCTTACAAACACTACAGAGCTCTGAGGTCTGAGCCATAACTGACTTCATAGGATTCAGAGGTGGAATACAGATTTACTTAAGAGGAGCTGTGAGTTTCCTTGGTACAGAAGCTTTGAGAAAGGCACCCTGAAGTAGGGGCAGGGCTCCAGTGATAAGTCCTGGAGGCCATAGAAAAAGGGCCTAATATCTTGGTTCAGATCTCTTGGTTCCAGCCCCTCATTGGTCCTTCAAGTACACCCTGCATCTTTGGCACAATGCTTCTCCGTTTCTGGGCTGCTTGGCTGAGTAAGAGTCGCGACTCTGACCTTCCCATCCCTTATTCACTCCGATGCTCAGACTCAGGGCTAGGGGGGCTGTCTGTTGTGTGAAGGGAAGGAGCTGGGAAAAGCCACTTTGTCCACACACAGCTTTCCAACACTTCAGTGGGCATGGAGCCTGCGGTTGGTCTGGTCACACAGGTCTGAACCTTTGAATGTTTCTGCTGTGACAAGATCCTACTGGGAAAGCAGAAACCAACTTGGCAAGTGGCCACCTCAGTGGGTTTCTGTCTAAAGGCTTTTCCTCCTTGGGATCTTTTCTAACGAGAGTCTTTGTCTCCCTTTGGAGGTGGAATGGATTTGTGGTCCCAAGTCCTCCTTCGGAAAATCTACCTCTGTAAGAGTTCTTTTTAAAAGAGGGGAGAGAGAGAAGAGAGAAAATAGTGCTCTACTGAACTGTGCGTCACTCGCCAAAGAATTCTGCAGCGATAGCAGTGCTATGAATAGGGGCAGTTATAATGGGCTGCAAGGAGCCAGAGCCCAACCACAGGGATCCTATCATGGCTCAGCTAGAATTGTGCTTTTTAGAAAGCAGGGTTTCAGACTCATGTCTTTGAGAAAGAGGGGTTTCAGAAGAACACTTATCATCAGTCATCTGAATCAACCACTTATTATTTCGTTGTTGCCCTTCTGAAATGCTTTTTAAAAATGCTGGCTTCTGTTTATACCAAGAGAAATGGAATCACATACGTAAGAAGTCATGGCAATTTTCACCCCAGAGAGCGATGGGTCAAGGTACCCTCGCAAAGCCCTGAACCGGAGGTCTCTCCTTCAAAGGCTAAGCACCGCTAGTCTATAAGATCCTTACCAAATATGGCTGGCCTTTTCAGGTCAAAGCTTTTTGTTACAGCCAATTATATGTGCATTACGTGGGTGGACTGGAATAAAAGGCAAAATGGTGAGAAAATGCATTCTAGACTCGTCAAAGCCCCCAAGGAGCCTCCCCACGAGATCTGGGCAGTCAGCAGTCTCTGCTATCATGACAAGGGAACTGAAGCCTTCAGCCATTTGAAACCAGTTAGCAGTAAAAAGAAGTTTAAGATAGGGTTGCTCAAGTGGAACTTTCACCCCGGATACCTGAAGCAAGAGGGTTTAAAGATAAAGCAAAAAGGAACAAAATGCCGCCTCCCCACAGAGCTGAGTGGAAATGTTAAAGGGGCAAGTGTGTCTCAGTTCTAATGCTTCTGGAGAAGGACAAACAGGGCCTCAGACCATCTTTAGCTGGCTTTCTGGAGACAATGGAAGGCTTGGTAACAGGTGGAGGCTCCCGTCACAGCAAGCTGCTGCACTGGAACACAGCAGCTCTCTCTGGTAATGTCTCAGTCCCAGTCAGGGGTCCAAATGTGCCTGAGGTAGGGAGAAGCCTCTAGGCTGCTCATGAACCACACTAGCACCCAGGCAGAGGAAAGTAAGGGTGCCTCCAGCAGCACCCCCTGTTTTGGGAGAGGAAAGTCTACTCTTTCCTTTCCCTTCAGAGAAAGTTGGGGTTGAGAATGCTGAGCTCCTCCCAAATTCTGCTGGCAAGTGAAGACAGAGCCAGCCCCTCAAAGGTGGTGTCTTTTTAAATCAAGGAAGATGTCTGGGCAATGAGCTTTCTTTTCATTTAGAAGTCCCCAGTTAGGCAGGTCCCACCAAAGCCGCTGTGTACTATTTTACAAGACAGCTCAAATCAGAGGGGTCAGATTGTTGGGCTAAGAGCTGCAGCTCTGAAGCTCCTGTTTGCTAGGGATAGCTGGGCTTCTTCCCCAAAGCTTCTTGTAATTGCAGGTGCCAGAAAGGAGACTTCACGGGGAAGAAAACCAAGGCTTGGCAACAGAATTCATTCTTCTGCAAGAAGAATGGAAGTTAGAGAAACCAGACTCTGTTGCATTAGTTCTAGGGGTCCTTCACTGTGCCTGTGAGTTCATGCTTCCAGCCAGTGTTTGAGTCCTGAAAGCCAGAGGGTTATTCTGAGTCAACTGTGTCAGCTATAGGCCCTAGATGTCATGTAACCTGTCGCCTCCCATCCTTTGCAGCTTCCTTTTCATACTCAGAATGCTGCTATGGAGCTAAGTTGTGTCTGGCTTGTGGTGTGCTTGATAAATGGGACCATATGGTCAGGATTACAATACAAAGTCACGTTCCTTAAAGCAGAAGGGTTTAGGTGTTGGGCTTTTACCCAATGTCCTGAACTAGGCCTTGGGTTCAGGACAATGACTGGACATCATAGATTCTATGGAGAGATGACCCAACACCTAGACTTGCTTCTTGGTGCTGGAAATTTGGTGGCAGCTTATGGCATACAGTCTCTTGGTGAGGGAGAAAGTTCTTGGAAAGAAAACATGACCTGTGTTCTTTACCCTTTTTTCCTAGATTGTACACAGTTCTCAGAAGTCTCCCAAGTACTCCAGGCAAAGAGTAAAGTGAACCCAAATGAACCAAAGACAGCAAAATGATGCACACTCAAACACACTATTCTCTCGGTATATCAGAACATAGCATGCTGGGAAATAGATGCTAGCACGCTTGCACTGTTACAAATGGATCTAGCCCACTGCCTGCCTTTATGACTTGTGAGGAGAGGTCTCAAGTTGTTAGTATCCGGCCTCACCATTGCTGGAGCAGGGCCCTGGCTAAGTTGGGCAGAGGACAGGAGTGTTCTGAGATGGGCTAGGCTGGGAGTTGAGGATTATGAGCATCCCCAAGTGAGTTTTACATTTCTTGGGGAAAAAAAGGAGGGAGACTACAAACAAAGGAAGGGCCTTATGCAATTACCATCAAACACCACTGCTGTCAACAGGCCCCTCTTCTTGCTGCTGAGTCGGTCATGAGCTTGGCACTGTTGGTCTCGGAAGCTGGGCACACCCTTGGGGCAGGGCAGGTTCTCACAAGCGGCATGTTCTACGCTGGCACCCTGGCAGTGTGCGCCTCCAGGCCCAGGGCTAGAAGAAAGAAAATATACATTAGCCAACTGGTCTGGTGGGAACAGCAGAGATGCTGGGGTGCTGCCAGGAAGTGGTGGGCAAGGTTTCCAGAGTAACCGTGTCTCTCTGACACGACTACATCTGGATGAGCCCAGCCCCACACCAGAGGCATGTTCAAGTGGGCCAGCAGAAAACTGCATCACAGGACTGTAAATAAAGGTCATCTGGAGACAGGATACAGTGAGTATCAGTTCAGCAAGAGCCATAAGTCCCATCTTCCACCTGGATTTAAGACTTGCTCCTGGGTGACCTTGAAAACCCCAAAGGAAATTTTGGTACTTAAAACATTTTTGTCACTAAAGTGAAGACCCTTAAAAACAGTTTGATATGTTCTACAAGCCTCCAAGTTTTAGGAGGGATGAATAAGTAGTTCTCATTTACTTTATAATACAATGGGGCGATCGGTGCACTCATACATAGTCAGTTTCTGGACACTGGCCAGTTAAGTCCTAGCTCTGCCCACCATAATCAGGGCAAGTGTGAGGTCAACATGTGACCTGGATTCCTCGATGTCATGTCTAGACTGACTAAGTGGTACTTGGTTCTAGAAAATAAGCTGTGTTCACTGGCCAAGTCCACGTATCTGAGGCTCATCAAGGCAGGATGGCAAGATGCTGGCTGGGATGGTCAGAGTATGGCTTTACTTAGCTTCTTTGAGAGATCCCAAGGTGTCCTTGAGGGACTCAGACCTAGTCAAGATCAAGGCTTCCACACATCACCATGGTACCAAGTTCATGATGATACACTGTGTTACCTGCTTTTCATAGAGATTAACATAAGAGAAAAAAAAAACTATGCACCATGGGTCTTGACCTGCATTTTGTACTCACAAACCAAGTGTGGGGGGTAGGGGTGGGTATTTCTTTCCCTTTCTTGCCATTCACAGGTCCACAGGCCACACCTCAGAGAAATGATCATATAGTGAACTCAGATAGATGCAACCTCACAGCATGTCCCCAGGGACTCTGGGCTCTGTTACCAAGTACACACAGAACGTATTTCTGTATCAGAAAGCAAACATAGAAAGAAAAGAGATGTACTGGGCCCCAAAAGCCACATGGGGTACCAAGAGAGACACTTTCATTGTGATAGGTTAAATTTTTATGACTGGGGACCAAGAAAAGATGCACAATATAGCATGTATCTTCTGGCAAACTGTTCCAAGCTAAACCATGTCCCCTCTCCTTAGTTTCTATGTTAAAATCCTACCCTACCCCAGCACCTCAGAATTGTAACCTTATTTGAAAATGGGGTCATTGCAGATGCAATTAATTAAGATGAGGTTACAATGAAGTACAGGTAAAAGTGATTGAACAAAAGGTGGAGGAAGGTAAAGAGGAGGAGAAATGAGATGTAGAGAGTGAGAGAGATATCATAGAAGACAGAGTGAAAAGCACCAGGATGTCCACAATGAGGTAATCCGTCTCTATCTAGACAGCTAAAACTATCATCAGGAACTGTTTTGAAAGGTGGGAGTATATGTCAAAGCATGCAGATTCCTGGTTGGTACACTGTAGTTAACTTTGGTCTACTTCATCCTTTAGGATGGTGGGAATTAATATTCATTCCACCCCAAGCACCATGAAAGATAATCAAGAGCTTGACGGAACTAGGATGTTAAAAAAGGGGGTGGGGCTTATTTGCCAAATATCCAGCCTCTGTGTTCCAAGTCCTGACTGCTGCTTCTGACCACTGAGCTATAGACACAAACTGATATTGCTGAATAGCCCGACAGGTTACATGATTTCCAGGGATTTACAAAGATCAGCTTCTCTGCTTCTAACTACCATTTTCTTTTCTAAATGCCTATCAATTTCCAGTACAGTAAGGGCTACATAGAGAGATGTTGCCTCAAAATAGATTGATAGATAGATAGATAGATAGATAGATAGATAGATAGATAGATAGATGGCAGAAATGTATACATTAAATAATTTATAAGCAATTGGATCTCCAGAGGTTAGAAAGCTATGAGGGATGGTGGCCAGGAAAAGATCAAGGGTCAGACAAGACCTGCAAAGTCTTAAAAATTTTTACTTCTGATCACTCCTTGCATAGAGATATCATTCAGCCATAAACAAACAAAAGAAAGGAATCAAAGACAGCAAACCTGGACCAACCATAGACTCAAGAGTCTAATTTCCAGAAAAAAAAAATCACACAGCACAAAAGAAAACAGAAAAATGTATCTCATTCAATGGAACAAAATGTATCAGAAGACTCCATCCCTGATGATGCTCAGGTGTTAGACTTACTAGACAAATACTTTAAAACAACTGTCATAAGATGTGAAAGAGTGAAAGAAAAAGAGACAGGGATACATTGCATGAACATGAGATGGAGTTATTAAAGAGAAACAAAGATAAAATTAAGGGATGAAAACTGCAATCATCAGACAGTGGTTAGCAGGCAGAAGAAAGAACCCACAAACCTAAAGAGACTTTTCCGTGTTGTTATAAGAGAACACTCTGACCAAGAGCGAGTTGGGGAGGAGTTTTTCTATTTTGCAGGCCACACTCCATCACTGGGGGAAGTCAGGGCCTATTCTGTAACTACATTCTGGATCTTTGCTCTGAACCCACAGGTAAGTGCAGTCCTCACCCTTCATCTAGGGAACATCTCTTTGCCATAGATAGAGAACATTGCAGAAAAATCACAACAAATCAAAATGCAGAATCATACAGCCAGTCCCAATGGATATACACAAGGCTCAGGGAACATTTCAGAAGAGGTGGCAGAAAGAATGTAAGAGCCAGGGAATCAGGGCATTTGCTGTGAGAGTGTGTCTCCTAGAAATTTCAGAGCTTATGCCAATAAAGTCTTACCAACGTGACTGATAAAACATGAGCTGAACAAGAACAACAACAATAGACACGCTAACGTGGACAGGAAAATGCCCATAAGCCTCAACCCTCTACAGCAACTAAGGAATGATGGGGAACATAGTCTTCCCCAGGAAAGAGTACACCAATTGGTTAACCAATACCAAATGGTCAACCACGTATGAACAAGTAACATTATACAGACTAAGCATGTTGTATTTAGGAATCTCTCTCTCTCTCTCTCTCTCTCTCTCTCTCTCTCTCTCTCTGTGTGTGTGTGTGTGTGTGTGTGTGTGTGTGTACATAAACAATTAAAAAAGGCAAAAAGAAATGTGGAAGAGCATCTTCCAAATTCTAATGAAATGATACTCAGGGTAGCATGTGAAGAAAGTGTCTCCAGTTAAAAACAGGCTTGAAGCTCAGCTTTGTTAATACAAGGTTCTAAAGGGGCACTGAAGAGGGGCAGGCTTTCCTCCCCATTTCCCCCAGTACACTGCACTAGCATCTTCGGGAAGCATCCTCCTGCATGCCAGTATAGGAGTATAGGAGCCCTTCAGGCAGATTCCTGTCCTATTCTGCAATGCACCTCTTCCCCTCTGACACCCACCCTGCCTTCCTACAGGGTTCAGTTTACAGGTTTCCCCTTTGTCTGTGGGCCTGGGCTGTGACCTCTCTGAGGATGCTAACAAGGTCTCAGGTGTGTGAGGGGCATCTTCACTCAGGAGAGACACAAAGACTATGCCTGCATCTCTGAATCCTGTATCCATCAGGGTTCTGGGTGTCTCTTAGTATCTATTTTCCACTTACTCTCATCACTTCCTATATAAAGCCAGGGTTTCTTTCAAGTATACCTACTCTGTTCAAAACGTCCACGGGGGCTGGGGAGATGGCTTCCTGGCTGAAGTGCTTGATGCACAAGCATGGATAATGGAGTTTGGAATCCCAGAGCCAGGCAACTTCTGGACGGGAATACGATTCTGCCTGTAGTTTTAAGCCTTGGAAGACAGAGAGAGGGGATTCACCAGAGTAAGCTAGCTAGCAGAAGTAGCCATATCAGTGAGCTCTGGGTTTGACTGAGAGATCTTGTCTTGAATAAGGTGGAGGAGCTATAGTATATGGGTCCCAACATGACCCTTCGGTCTCTGTATCCATGTACACACAGGTAGGTGGTACACAGCTACACAGTGTATACATGAATATACACATGCACAATACACACACATGCACACACACACGGAGAAAGAAAAGCAAGATTTATGCTCAGAAACCGATATTAAATAATCACAGTCATCATTTTGACCAACATGGGAAAAGAGGAATACAGCTAGCTTCACGGTCCCCTGCCTAAGTAATCCCCATACCACGTGTGGCAGGATCACATGGCCCTCACTCCCCGTGGCCAGCTCTATAGCATGGTTGTTTCTCAAATTTACAGTTTTGCTTCCCAAAGTTTTCAGGAATGGACAATCAAACGTGGTCTAGAAACATAAAACGGGAAATGCTACAAACACACAATTAGCAAGTTTCAAATGCCTTAACGTAGCAAATAGTTGTGATTGTTTTGTTTATCATTGTTATTAACTCCCTACTGTGCCTAACTTTAAAGTTAAACTTCTCATAGGCACGAATGTATAGGAAAAAGCACAGCATATACAGGGTTTGGTATTATCCATGGTCTCAGCTAAGGGGGATGGCCACTGAAGGGATGTGGGGAGGGTGTGGTGGGGGTCATGGAGGTTGACACAGGTGGGACCGTGTTTACCGTACATCCCATGCTGGCTCACCTGGATGGATCCCGAGTCATCCAGGGGAGCCTGGGCTTTAGAAGATGTTTTACTGGAGCAGCAAGGGCAGGGAGGAGAGGCCGGATCCACACGTGCCGGGTAGGAAAGAACAAAGTTAGGAAGCTAGTTGAAAAACACGGGTGCTTTCCAGTGTACACTGGGAAGTAATAAGACAAATAGCTCTAAAAGCCAGGACCAGGAAAAAAGGGTGGGGTGATGGGGGGGACTCTCTTGCCAGTATCTTTGGACAGTGAATAGAACAGCTGCAGAATAGAGGGAAAGGGGCCAGGGATGTGCAGAGAAAACCATGGGGAGAGGCTCATGGGAATGTTCCAAGCTGTATACAGCGGTGAGCTCTGGCCATCCTCTCGAAATATCAGGGCAGTGAGCTGTCTGATTTAGGGAGTGAGACAGAGAGTATGTTATTTTGGTCAGAACTTGGCTCAGAGGCCATGATCAGCTGTGCTTTGTAACAGTCATAATGGAGGCCTTGTGCAAGATCAGGCCCTACGCTGCAAGCCCGAGTGCCTACAGTGCTGACCCAGTTGCTTCAGGAAACACCAGGACTGCCGAAGACCCACCTGCCCGAAGTCTGACTTTGTTTTTCTCCTCTCTCTTGGGTTGGCTCCAAGAAGGTAGGATGGATTCTTGTAGAACATTCCTCAAGGAGATAGGAAACGGAGCTGAATGGTCATAGCAAATAATCAGACTGACTACTAAGGCATCAATATTACAAGAGCAAAACCAGGTCATTTTTTTTAAGTTGAAATAGGCAAGGCTGGGGTGACATTTCTGGCTGTGAGTGACAGCACTGCAGGGGAAGGGTGGGCTGCATGGCCTGGCTTTTTAGAGCATCCATGAGGTGACACAGGTAAGGGAGCTTATTGGTGATCTATTATCTGGCCTGACAGTTTTAGTTAATTTTTATGTTTCTCAAAAGAAAAAAGACATTAGAGGTGTGTTTTGGAGTCCTGGGAAGGGTAGAAGGATTGCTTCTCCTAGGAAAACAGGCAAGGAGATGTCCTAGCATATTTTATTGAGCTGTAGATGTAGAAGAAAAGGCGGAGCCTGTCCTAGGCCTTCATGAAACCCCAAGGCCAATGAGAATGAAGCAAAAATCAACTGAGTTGAAATATAAGAGACTTGGCAGCTCCAATGCTAAGAGGGGGCTAAGAGTGAAGCTGACCCCTACTTTACACAGCGTGGTCAGAGAGGGGGCTTCTCCGGGGATAAGAGATTTACACTGAGGTCTAAACAAAGGTAAAGGGAAGTTAGGGCCAGTAAAGTACTGAGGAATCATCCTGAGTTGGACCATTGTGGCTGAAGAGCAGAAAAGATGCTTCAAGATTGGGGTAGGAATGAATGGTGGTCATGATGGACTGGAACACGAGGACATCACTTCAATCAGAGAACGAGTTGTAGGGGGTAGGTACTTCAGATCTTAAGCTGAGAACACCTCAGACTACACAGGCCTGCAATCCAATGGTAAGTGTACTTACAGGAGAAGAGAAGGAAGAGAGACCACATTCAAGTGCAGATAGACTGTGGCATTTCTGCAAGCCAGGGAGGGCAAAGACCGCCAGAGCCCCTGGAAGCCAGAGCAAATACAGGAAACACATTCTCGTTCAGGCATTCAAGGAGAAATCAATCCCACGGGTTTCTGTGTTTTTAGAGAAATTATCAAGCCATTTGTTACTACCTACCTGTGTGACCTAGGACAAGTCATCTAATTGCCGTCTGACTCAGTTTTGGATCTGCCCAATGGGGGTGAGAAAGATGCCTTTCTCACAGAACCGCCTGGCTAAGAACCAACAGAGCCCACATAGTCCACGGTGCCATAGGGAATTGATACATGGTGTTGGTGGGGCCGGCTCTCCAAACTTGTTACCAACAGCTATAAATGAGGCAAAAGGATACCCATGGACACAGGGCTGTGCCCTTGAGCCAGGCAGTGATGGAGGGGACACGTATGAAGAAGGTAGAGGTGAGCATGGAGGAGAGAGTAGCTCACAAGGGGTCCAGTATGAAACGGGGGTAGGAAGAATCCTGGGAAGGTGGGCAGGACTCTGCCTGTCTTTGCTTGTTATTGTAAACCTATGCCCGGCATTCATTCTACTCAATGCTTCCTGAGAACAAAATCTGTCAGAAGAAACAAAGGCTTGGAAGGAACAAGAATGGTGGCCTTCTCTTTCTGCTACATTTTTACCACCAGTCTGTCCCACAGCCATCAGGCCAGCAGGGACTGGGCAAGAAGGAACACTACTGTCAAACACCAGTGTGTGAAGCCCCCACAGGCCTACAGCTGTTTGTGTGGATGTTCTGTCAATTCTCTCAGTCCTCAGTGATAAAACACAGGAGGCTGAGAGCTAAAATTCATGATGGCAGTAGGGTTGGGGGTGAGGGTCTGGGTACAAATACGGTGTGGCAAGAACTGGTTGAGAATAACGACAAATGAAAGAACAACTTATAAGCACTCTCTCTTCTGGGGCCTCTGGATCTAGAGGGATGGGACTAGATTGCTAACATACGAGGGCTCACGGCAGGGCAAGCCAGGAAGGGTACAGCAACACAGTTCTAGGAATTGGAAGCCTTAAGGAGACTAGCTTGTAAAGGGTCCCCTGGGGAGGACAGAGCAGCAAACGGGCAGGTCAAGGCGCAGTTAGGACACCTTGACAGTTGTGACAGCCTTGGTGAGAAGCCACAAAGCTCCAGAAAGTCCCCTCTGCAAGTTGTCTCCGGCAGGGGGATATTAGCCAATACCACTTATAAGACATAAGGACAACACTGGTCTCTTAAAAGTGTGTCTAATGCATTTTCCCCACACTGGGAACACTGTGTGATGTGAACAAGTACTGCTGTCGCCTAAATACAATCCAACTGCCTAGCATGTCAGGACACAGGGAATGTTGAACCGTTAGCAGCTCTGTGTGATGTTTCCTGAGCATGACCTGATAAGAACTGACATTTGTGATAAGCCAAAGGAGGCCAGTATCCAGCCAAGGGCCATGAGCTCTAATCACAAGCATAGCACCCTAGACAGCCTTCTGTACTTCTTAAAAGCCCCTCCCACCCTGTGGGTGGACAGGACAAGGTGGGTTCTTCATCCTGGTTCTTCTGCTCTCTCGATAAGGATCACTTATAAAATGCCAATGGCTTCATAGGCGTACTAACAATTTTATTTTATAATTTTTAGCAGTTGGGACACGTAGAAGCTGCCAGGTGCTGCAGTGTAAGGCATAGTACTGGACTGGGAGACTGCTCTGTGCCAGTTTTCACATTTGGCTCTTCTTTCTCTTACACGCCAGGGGAAGCCAAAGCCCAAGTTTCAGCAGAGTCTATCCTGAGGTCAAATGGCCAATGATCTTGATAGCTGGGGCCCAAGCCTCAGCTCTCTGAATCTAAACTCACACCTCTCCCTTGAGAGTCAAAGCTATTACTTTCAACTGAGCCATGTTAAAAAGTAATTATCTTGTTCCAGCACAGCCAAGGCTATACAGAGAAGCCCTGGCTCACTCCTCCCCCAGAAAACAACAGCAATAACAACCCCCAAACTTAACCTATCCTCCAATCATTTTTCACCACTCAGCCAAAGGTGTTTCATCATCTCTGCCTCCTTTCGTAAGAGGTCACCCAGGATTTCAGTTAAGAAGGTCATTCCTAACAGATTAAACCTACTGTGTGCCAGACATTCAGCTGTACCTTATTCTAAAAAAAAAAAAAAAGACATTTTGCATAATGCCAATTACTACAGCACTAACTGAAAATCACAAGGCTGCTGCCACCCACTAAACTATGGGTGTCAGCCCTCCTTATAAAGGATGTCCCTGGCACAGTGAACACTTCCAATTGCTGTGGCCCACCCCTGTGACTTAACTATACAGCCTGAGCATTGGGATTTTTTTTTTTTTTTTTTTTTTTTTTTTACAAAACAAGAGGTATCTGCAAATAAGTCATCAACCTGATTTCATTGTGGAAAATCATTCATGTTCAGACACAATTTATCACTTGCTCACCCTCTAAACAGATGGGGTCTGACTGAGGACATTCAAGAGAGAAAGCAGGTGGTGGCCAAAGGGACAGTTTACAATCAAGAAAGTTCAGAGAAGAAGAAAACCTACCAGGATGTAATGAGTATAATGGAGCATAGAATCTAGTCCCCAGTTTTCCAGATCAAATGTCCTGGGTGAATGGTAAGGGTCTTGGTGTATCATAGCCCATGAAAAGGAATTTAAAGAGAAAAGTGCATTAGTTTTCTCCCTGTCAAATAGTTCTAGAAAGAGAAATAGTGAGAATGATTTAGCTGACCAAACACTGAATCCATCCATAGGTAACTTCGGGACATATGCTCAACCTGCTACCAAATCTGCCAACAGCAAGTCTCTCAAGCTTCCTGAGAATGGCCCGCAACTAAGCAGAACATCACACAGGCAAGAGAGCCATCTTGGGGACACAGCTAAGTGAGGCACGATGGAGCCGGCTTGGCCTGGGACTCCACTGTGTCCCGTGCTCAGACAGCGCTCCAGCAAAGCTAAGGTGACACAGCACACTCAGGGCCCTTGAACTCAACCTTGGTCTATCCCGTTCCCCTTCGTAATACGGTTCTCAGCACGAGGGGCAGAGAGCCACAGAGTGGGGCGCCCCTTGCGGCGGGGTGAGGGGCAGAGGGCCACGGAGCGGGGCGCCCCTTGCGGCGGGGTGAGGGCGGGAACTTACGGGGGGTTATCACATTTCCTCTGCCGGAATCGCGCTCCTGTCCCGCACGTTCGGCTGCACATGCTCCAGGTCCCCCACGGACTCCAGTCCCCGTCCACGTGTTCTGGGATGGGTGTCTTGCTCACGCACTCCCCAGCCCGGCACCACTGAAACACAGGGAAGGGCCACACTCAGCAAAGCCACCGGCTCCCCAAAGGACTTAGTCCAGTTTGAAATTTCCAGCGAAGTTGAGTCTTTCAGGCCGTGTGTGGTTGCTGACTCTTGCTCAGCCTGGTGTGTAATCTCCCCGGAGTTTAGAGCTTGCCACAAACTTACACGGGGACTGTGCTCCACAGAGAATTTCTAAGTTCTCCAGAAGAGGATTGATCCACGTGGCAGGAGACTGGAACTAAGGGTGTGCAAACTCCAAAGAATGCGTGTGCAGCTCTCTCCAGAAGGCAGTGATTTCAGCGGACGGGGCCAGAACTTCAAGGTTGGGTTTAGTACTTAGAAATGACAGGCAAAAGTCAGGTGTGGTGGTCAATGCTTCTCAACCCAGCATGTGGGAGACTGAGACGGGACGGGTATCACAAATGTGAGGCTAGCCTGGGCTAGGCAGATGGAGGAGGGGAGGGGTTAGCTGTGGGTAGGTGCACATCAGTTCTTTCTGAGGATAAAAGGAAGCCAGTCTCTACAACAGATTTCCTAGAATGTAGTGTGACTCAGTTCTCTGCAAGCACAGGGCATAACAAAAAGCATCACTTCCTGCTTTAACTCTTTTTAAGGCTTCCAGTAAGTCAGTCATGGTGGTAAAAGGCCTGAAAGCCCCAGCATGTGTGAGGTGAAGGCCTTGAAGCATCATAAATTCAAGGCCAGCCTGGGCTATACAGCAAGTCCCAGGGTAGCCTGGGATGTATACAGAGATTTTAGCTCAAGAGGGACCAAAAAGAAGATCAGGAGAAAGAAGACTGGAAGATGAGGATAAGGGGAGGAGGAGGGCAGAAGGAAGGGGTGAGGGAGAATGGAGAGGGGACAGAGAGAAGGGGAAGAGGGAGAAGAATGAAGAACGGGAGAAGGTTAGGAGGAGGGAAAGGCGGGGGAGCGGAGGAAGCAGCAAACAAGCTAAGGAAGGCTTGCAAGGAAGATTAGGAGGAAGTTGTGGAGCTGCGGAGGCTGCCGACTTCTCTCACCCTTGGAGTCTCACCCTTTCATAAGGAGCGTGATGCCGTCTAAAATCTAGCCATGATGTTTCTCATCAACAGATGGCAAATGAACTCGCTTTCCAGCTAACATCCACTCATTTAAAACCTCCCCCTTTAAGGAGATTCCCTTGTGTAACCAAAGGAGTTCATTTTTAGCAGAGCACATCAAGGAAACGATTGATTCCCGTGGCTTTTGTAAGAAACAAGGAGTGATACGGAGACACATGCGTGCAGCGGGCTCGGTGAGAATCCCGAAGCTGGGCGTCCGGGAGCCGTGGGGCTGCCTGGGGGTGGGGCCGGAAGCTGGGTGTTACCTTGTCTGCTCCACACTCGGTGCCGTCCAGGGGAGGGTCCAGTTTGGTCTTGCAGGACGTGTCTCCCTCTACCAGGCACCACAGCCCAGCACACATCAGATGCTGTAGGACAAGAGAAGCAGCCATGAGTGCCCCCAGAACGCCCCCAGAGGCGGGTCACGGCCATGGAGAAATCACCACTCAGATTTGGGATTCGAAACCCACGGGGTTTAGAAAGGAGAGTTACGAGTCTGGAAATCTAAAATGCCAACCGGCTTGTTCAGCGCGATGGAATTCGTGCATTAATCCTAGGAAGGCTCGTCTCACGGGGGACTGCGTTTGGGAGCTCCGAACTCGGGAATTCTTGGGGCTGCCACCCAGGAATGGTCAGTAAATAGCTCCCTTCCATCTAGTGCACCGGGTAAAGCGGACACCCGTGGGCTGACAGCGAATACAAGGAACGGCCCTAGCCCAATTTTACCAGGGGCATCTCCTTGGCCAGTGTCCCAGGCGAGTGTGCAGGACCGTGAGTGAGGTGGGGAATTAAAGCAGCTATCATGGGGGCCGCATATAAGAGGCCAGAGGCGGCCTTCTCCACTCCCTGCCTGGCTTCTACCTCTGCTGAGCTTGGCATAAATTATTACAGTATTTTACCTAGAAAAACTTGGAATGTCTACAGAGAATTAAAGCAATTCCACTAAAACAGAAATAGGCATCTAAACGGACGGACTCCCAGCTGTATTAAGACATTTGGACATTGACAAAGTGTTCAGAATGAGACAAATTATCAAAATTACCAAGGCAGGCATGGCTGTTCTTCCCCTGAGAGGACTTGTGAGCAGACAGGACCATCAACCATAAGAGATGGGGTCTGGCTGACCCTCTTCCACTGGGAGGAGGATTCTGGGCTACGGTCTACGCATTTTGTTTAGGTCCTACTCTGTTGCCCAAGGCTGTTGATGAGTCACGCCCATCAGTGCACCTTTCTGCACGTCTCTCCCTGTAGATGGCCCCTCACAGTATTTCCTGGGATTGCTTCCCACATAAACTGCTTGCACCCAAATCCTCACCATGATCATGGCCTGAAAATTGGAAACAGATGTTCCCAACAGCCCTTTTAAAGACACAGTGCTTCCAGGATGCCAAACCCAATTCCGGCTAAGAAGCTTGAGCTGGAATAGGAAGGTCTTACCCTCCACCGTGCGGCCAGTGCATAGCTGGTCCCTTCAGGCGACCTGAGGAACTCCCCCAACCCCCGCCCCCAGCAGCATGGCACGGTGAGGTTTGCAAACAGTGTGCTGTGCTCAGTTTAGAAGTCTGCTGTTCCAAGCAGTCTCAAACATCTGCACCGAACAGATGTGCAACTGTGCTTGCTGTCTGAAGTCAAGAAATGTGTGGAGACTGGAGACAAAAATAAAGTAGAAATGAAGGAAAACAGTGGTGGTGGTGGAGGGGGTGCTCTCACAACAAGCGAAGGGACGCTCACAGCTCCTTCTCGCTTTTCAAGCACGTGGGAGCCGGTCTGAGCCTTCAAGGGAGGCAGCGCCGCCGGAGCCGAATGCTGCGCATGTGTGTCTAGAAAAGTCTACGTGTTCCCGTGACTGTTTACCTCTCCATGGAACGGTAAAAAGATGAGAACCCTCTCGCAGTGCAGCTGCTCCCATAAAGATGACTGCACCTCATTAAACGGTTGAGTCCTTGCACTTTCACCTAGAGTCCTTCCAGGGTGTTGCAGCGATGTTCAGACACATGGTCACGAGGCGAGGCAGACCCAGGAGCGCAATTAGGGGGCAGGAGGGCTTGGGATTAGGAGAAATAATGGCCACATTAGGAGAGAGAGGAAGGAGCTGAGGTGAACTGTTTATTGTGCATTTTATGGACGGGGCTTTCTCGTGAAACTTCCCTAATTATCAAAGTCAAAGAGTGGGAGGTTAGACGGAGCTTTCTTAAACAGGGCGCAAAAGTACCGACAATGAAGGAGAAAACAAAATAGAACAAATGAATTATGCTCCATTAGACAATGGAGAGCATTTGTCTATTAAAAGGCAAGTATTTGAACACAGGGAACTTCCCAGAGACTCATACTCCAACCAAGGACTATTTGTGGAGATGACCTGGAACCCCTGCACAGGTGTAGCCCATGGCAGTTCAGTGTCCAAGTGGGTTCCATAGTAATGGGAAGAGGGACTGCCTCTGACATAATCTGATTGGCCTGCTCGTTGATCACTTCCCCCTGAGGGGGGAGCAGCCTTACCAGGCCACAGTAGAGGACAATGCAGCCACTTTTGATGAGAACTGATAGACTAAGATCAGAAAGAAGGAGAGGAGGACCTCCCCTATCAGTGGACTTGGGGAGTGGCATGCATGCAGAAAGGGGAGGGAGGGTGGGATCGGCAGGGGAGGAGGGAGGGGCTCATGGGGGGATACAAAATGAATAAAGTGTAATTAATAAAAAAAAAATAAAAGATTTAAAAAAAAAAGAATATCAGAGAAGGTGTTTGCAATAGACGGGGAAGGTATTTCTAGTGCATAGAACCAACAAAGTATATCTAGCACTTTTTCTTAAAGAAAATAACAAGCCCAAACTATTACAGATCAAATAAGAAAAAAGGCCTAGTGAAAAAATGGTCAGAAGACTTGAGTATTTCATAAGATAATATTTAAATGGCAATTAAGCATATGAAGATCTGGCCAAACCTCTTCAGCCATCAGGCAAAGGCAAATTAAGACTATCTTTAGATACCTGTACATACACTGAAAAAGATGGAGAATTTCAAGTCTTGACAAGGACATAAGCCAACAGGAACTGTTGTGTACTGATGTTAACATTTGGACTTGTTCAACAACTTACTGTCATATCTCTAATTCCACGCTCCTCCCCCCAAAGAATATACTGGAAAGAAATCTGAATATACGGCCTATGAAGATGGCAGGAAGCGTTCATTTTCAGTATGAGCTGTGTTATTACAAAAGTAGAAACAAGCCAAATGCATTCTGGATGGGGCTGGATACCTCGGAGAAGCTCTTTGTCATGGCTCTACTGAGGTGGGGACAGTGGATGAAGTCACTGTTTTCCATGTTCATCTTTGCAGATGACCATGTCCACCATTTTCCCTTGCCTCTGACTCACTTTTAATCCACAGGATGCAGCACATAATGGCAGGGATGTGACTTCATGATTAGCTCATAAACACTATGATGATCTCTGTCCTCCTAAAAGGCTCTCTGGATTGCTTTCTTGGCTTGCCTTCTTTGGTCAAATTAGCTGCCATGTTGGAAAAGGCCATGTTACGAACTAGAAAGCATGCCACTTCAGCCTTTGCTCCAACAACCTACAAGGACTTATTTCCAACAACTCCAGAGTGAGCCAGTGAGCCTGGCAACAAGCACTTCCCCAGCTGAGCTTCAAGTGAGCCTGCAGACCTCTGCCCTCACTGTAACCTCACTGTAAGACAGAGCTTAGGACCAGACATAGCAACAAGTGAGCTACTCTTTCTACCGAGATAAACTCTTCATATTAAATCACAGCCAAGGCTCTATGATATGCTGTGTAACAAGCACTTAATGTGATTTAGAGGCCAAAAGAAAAGCAAAGGAAGACAGCAATTCTAATGTCAGTCAAACTTGAACCCAGAACCTGAAGCTGAAATGATATAAAGAAATATGATCCTCAATGGTCATCTAGTATCTATGCCCCAAATAGTACAGAGTATTAAATCCTATAAACAACAACAAAAAAAGTTAGTATAATACTTTAACGGAGCTTTCTCAGTCCATGACAAAGCAAACAGTTGTGTAATGATGAAAGAGATGTAAATAACATAACAGAATAGAATTGATACAGGCCCAGTTCTTAAAACAAATATGTGAAGACACATCTTCAATGGTCATGGAATAGTCATAAAAAGTAGCTCCCAAAAGGTTCAAGGTCATCCTTGGCTACAAAGTGAGTTCAAGGACAGCCTAGGCCACTTAATCAGACCGTCTTGGTCTTGTAAAGTACAAAGGGACCTGTGGATAGAGCACTGGCTTGCTTCAGTGGTCAGTACTGTGAATGTGAACGCCACCACCAAGATCAAGACAGAATGAGGCAGAGGAACCCCTGAAAGCCTTCAGAGCCGGTTCTCTATAGACAAGTGAACCAGAGACTCCATTTACTGAATTCTTCAAGAAAAGGGGGGGAAACATGCAAACAATATGGAAGGGAATAACTAAAATGCAGAGCAGAGACAACCTGTCTCATTTAGTGTACAAAAGCCATGGTTTTCCTGTGAACGTCTAAAATAGCAGCTGTGTTGTTTGACAGTGGAGGGTGGCTCGGTGGGTAAAGTGCTAACTGTGCAAACCGGAAGACCAGATTCTTGATCCCCAGAACCCACAGGTGACACAGTGTCAGCACTGGGGAGGCAGAGCTGGGAGGATTCCTGGGCTCGCTGGCCTGCGAGTCAAGATGAATCAATGAAAACTGGGTTCAGTGAGAGACCTTGTCTCAAAAGATAAGATAAAGCCAGGCATGTTGTCTTACACCTTTAATCTCAGTGCTCAGGAGGTAGAGGCTAAAGGATCTCTCTGAATTTAGCCTCGTCTACATAGCACGTCTAGGCCAGCCAAGACGAGACACTGAGATCCTGTCTCAAACAACAACAACAGTAATAATAATGTGACTGAGGCTGAACCTGACATTAACCTCTGACCTCACCCATATGCACACACATAGCAATAGCTAAGGCTGATTTTCAGTTTATCAGGACATGCCTATGAGAGATTATCTAGACTATGTATAGATTCCTTCATACTTGGGAGAAATTATCACACTTGTGATGAGTTTAAGTGGGCAGCGCCCTTTCTGGGTTTGAGTATTGGACTACATGAAAGATCTCTGTCTGTCTGTCTGTCTGTCTGTCTTTCTGTCTCTCTTTCCATGAGTGATGCAGGAGACCTAGAAAGACATCATGGGGTACTGTGTTTCTCACAGGGACTTTTTTATTTAACTCCCAAGGAGCAGCTAACATCAGCATCCTTAAAGTAGTTAAGTATATGAGAAGGGAAGATATTTCCTTTTTGACAACAAGCAGAATAAGCATAAAGCAAAATTCATACTAACCTTATTTGTGAATAATTGT